GGGTGGGGGTGGGGGGTGGGGTGGTGGGGCAGATAAGCCTGGATGTGCATCACAGCCGGAGAGCAGGGTCTTAGCGACAGGATGAGCTCAGGGAGAGGCCGGTCACAGTCAAGTGCAGGGTCACCACCAGTGGTGTGATCAGGAGGGGTCAGCAACAGGGGGAGGAGCGGCAATGTGGAGGTGCCTCCCTTCCTGGCCTATGCCTCCCCCGTCCAGTCTGCAGGTGTCTGCCCGGGGTCCGCGCCCACCTGCTGGTACTGGCGCAGCGCCTCCTCCTCGCCGGCCAGACGCGCTCGCTCCTCCTCGTCCGGCTGGTACGAGGCGGGGACCTGGTAGGCCTCGGGCCGCGCCCGGCAGCACATCTCGCAGCCGGGCCGCGTGGGCTTGTTGATGAAGGTGCAGCCAGGGCACTGCCAGCCCACCTGGAGGCAGAGGGGCGATGAGCGCAGGGAGACGAGAGGGGCAGGTCAGGGGCGCAGGGGCGCGCACTGGGCAGCTTACCGGCAGGGGCTCTGGCGCGGTGTCGTTCTGCCCCTGCCCCGGCTCCTGGGGGCCCCCGGGCTTCGTGGGGACTGGCTCCAGGGGGCCCCGTGGCTGCAGCGTGAGGTCCTTGAAGCCCAGATCTGGGGAGGAGGGTTCAGGGGTGGCGGATCCCTGCAGCCCATTTTGTCCACACCCTGGGCCAGCCAGGAACCCCGGGCTCTGCACTGACTGCCCCCCCTACCCCACCCCCTTCTATCTCCCTCCTTCCGGAGGAGTCTCCAGCTCGGTGGTCCTGCCGGGTGGGTCCAGACCTGGCCGAGTGTCCTGGCTCCCAGGGGTCAGAGTCCCTCCTCCACCCACGACTAGTCCTGGGGCCTCCCAGCTTAAAAACCCGGTTTGAAAACTGATCGCCTGTGCTCCTAAGTGTAGCACCTAGAGGGGCGAACAACACTTCTGAGGTAGTCCTGCCAAAATACTGAATCTGAATCCATTCATGAGGGCACATGGGACAGAAAAACAAAAAACAAAACTGGCCTGGACTCTTCAAACAACAGGAGAGCCAAGGGAAGACAGGAGACCAAAGATTGAAAAAGACTGAGAGACACCAAGGCCAAGGGCCAGGTCTTTCATTATAAAGGACATTAGTGAGACAACTGGTAAAATTTGAGCAAGATCTGTCCATTAGATCAACGGACCGTATCAATGTTAATTTCCTAAGTTTGATAGGTGTATGTAGTAAGAAAATGAGCCTTTTTTTTTTAAAAGGAAATACACACAAGTATTTGGGGGAAAGGGACAACGTGTCTGCAACTTACTCTCATAACAGTTCCAAAAAATTACTTATGCATAAATAAATATTGAGAGAATGATAAAGCAAAACAAATATAGTCAAATGTTAATATTTGGGGAATCCACATGAAAAGCACATGGGAATTCGTTATACAATTCTTTATACAATTTTGCAACTTTTCTGTAGGTCTGAAATATTTCAGAATAAGAAGTAAAAAATTTAGAATAAAAACTAGCTATTATCATATCCAATTCACAGATTTAGAAAACTGAAGGGCAGAGATGAGAAGAGACTTGCCTGAGGTCACACAGCTGATAAATGCCAGGGCGGGGACTGAACTCAGCCCCTCTCCCCTAGACCAGCTGTTCTCTAAATGGTTCCCCAAATGGCTCCTTCCTGGGGTGTCCTTGGTCCTCTCTTCCCCACTATGGATAAGGTCTTCCAGGCACGTTCCTGACGAAAGCCCCTGGGCTCTGCTCCCTGCTCCCTCTCCCCTACAACCTCAGGAGAGTGCATGCCGCTCTGGAGCAGAGCCTCACCCTCCAGCATCCGCAGCTGCCGCTCCCGCTGCAGCTCCTGAGGGTTGAGTGAGGTGTTGCAGGCTGACAGCAGGTAGAGGTAGGCACTGGCCCCGTTCCGCCGCACCCCGTGGGAGTGCAGGGTCTCCTGGTCCCGGGCCAAGCGCTGCCCAATCACCCACTGCTGCAGGGTTGGCGGAAAGCCATAGTCCAGGAACACCTGGCAGGGAGGATGCAGATGGAATGTGGGGAGGGAGGCACAGAGTAGAGAGAGGCAGGGCAAAAGGGGGACCTCCGCCCTGACGCGTCTTCCTTTTGCCCCCTCACTCACCATGTCCTTGAGGGAGGCCACCGTCATGTCAGGCCGCACCGTGAGCCAGATAGTGACCGTGTGCATCTGCGCATCCTCCACGCTCACCCACAGCCTGCGGGGAGGGCAAGGGGCCGCAGGTCCAACCTCAGCCGCCAGCCAGCTCCTGAATTCCCACTCCCCTGTGCTTCCTGTATCAGAACTCGCTGCTTAGGCCCCTGCAATGGCTCCACATGGCTCTCAGAATAAAATCCAAACTCACTGTGGCATGGCAAGGGCCTCCATGCTCTGGCCCCTCCCAAGCTCTCCAACCTCTTCTATTATTGGCTATTATTGGCTCCTTAGCCAAACCACAAGTTATTAACTGTATGCCAAGACTCTTCAGAGTCTTGTATTAACATGTATTAACTCATGTAATCCTCTCAGTGAACACATGAGGCAGGTACTGTTGTCACCCCTATTTTAGAGATAAAAACAGGAGGCACAGATAGGTTACAGTGGCTCTGCCAAGTAAACAATTAATAACTGTTAGAGGCAGGATTTCAACCCAAACAGTATTATTCCACAGAAAGCGGTTTTAAACACCAACCTTCTCAAAGATGCTCAAACTTTTCTGGAAGACCAAAAGCATGAAAAGGGAGGGCTAAGACAAAAAAAACAGAACTGATCCCAGGACACAGAAAAATTAGGCTGTAGAACGATAACAGGAAAGCCCACTTAGAACCTCCAGAGTGATTTGGGAAAATGCCGCATCCTTAAAGCAAGAACAGCAAGAAACAATCAGAAAATGAGGAAGAATTCCTGTGAATGTAACAGTGACTCCTTACTATCCTAACCTTCAGGTCAAACTACAAGTTTACAAGGAAAATGAGAGATATTAAATTACACCATGAGGAGGCAATTCATAAACTCAGAACGTGGGAGAATTCTGGAGGTCAAAGACCAGGTTTCTTAAAAAAAATTAATGGCACTAAAAATAGAGAAAGTGAATAAAAGAGACTCAGACAACATTAAGAAATGCTATTTGATCTCTTTGGCTCCTGACTGGAACAAACCAACTATAACAAGCACTAACGAGGGAGTTGCAAGTGGTCAGGACTCTGGGGACCCAGGTTTAATCCCTGGTTGGAGAACTAAGATCCTGCAAGCCATGTGGTGTGGCCAAAAAAAAAAAAAAAAAAAACCCACTAACGAGATAATCAAGGAAAGTTGAATGTAAATACAGTAATAGGGAATTTTAAGTAATTATTGTTAATTTTTTAGGTGTAATAATGGTATTGAGGTTATTTTTTAAGTCATTTTTTAAAGACATATCAAATTACTTACGAATGAACTAAAATCTGAGACTTGCTTTAAAAATACTCCAGAAAATACCTCAAAATTCCTCAGGACAATGATTTCCAACACCCAGCCAACAATCAGGGAAATAAGAAATTTGTAGACGTGTATAGACGCCAAAAGTTTACCATCCACCTCTCCACGTGAAAAGTTTTTGAAATACAAGAAAAAAAAAAAAAGAATAGGGCCTCCCTGGTGGCGCAGTGGTTGAGAGTCCGCCTGCCGATGCAGGGGATACGGGTTCGTGCCCCGGTCCAGGAGGATCCCACATGCCGCGGAGCGGCTGGGCCCGTGAGCCATGGCCGCTGAGCTTGCGCGTCCGGCAACGGGAAAGGCTACGACAGTGAGAGGCCCACATATGGCAAAAAAAAAAAAAAAAAAAAGAATAGCTGAGTCTGATGCAGGAGAATGGAAGAAAAGTAAAAGGAAATTTAAAGAAGGACGAGATCTTAACCTTCAAGACATTCTTCTTCAAGCAACAGGGGTTTTGAAACATGAAAGCGCATCAAGTTTCAACTGCACTACTCATTCTACACTGAGAAATATTTCCATAATCAAAATACTATAAATGCTATTTTAGTGGGTTTACATTTTTAGAATCAACCTAGAGGCAAAGCATAGAAGCCTGAATTTTACTTAGGAAACAAAATCTAAAAGCTATAACCTTAACACCAATAACAGAAAAATACAGTTGGAACCCTTATATCTAATGTCATCAGGATCAGTGGTGATCAGTTAGTCAGAAAAATCGTTAAAGCAGAGAACTGCAAAAACAGCTGCAGACTTTAACAATTTTACCTTACAGGATACAAATGCACATTCAATGGCCAATCTCTTGGTAAAAGGCCAATGGCTTTTCTTGAGTACAAATCTGCTACTGGAGCTCCCCATGATTTTTTCTTTTTGTATGAACCACATGCATTATACACGGTCTATGACTTCCAGTATCAGCTTCTTTAAAGTGGAGCAAAAACTTACACTCTCAAAGCATCTGAGTACAGAGCCCTTCTGGATTTTTACCATATTTTTTACAACTGTCCCACCCTAAAATGATAACAGGTTTTTTTGGTGCCTCATCTCTATCTTGTCTTTCTAAAGCAATCAACTTAGGTTTCATAGACACAATTCTCTTTTAGCACTCATGTTTTACTGATTGATGTAACAGCTAATTAAATTATGCTGTGGCAGTAACAAGTATAACTGATATAAACAAGCTGTGTGTAGTGGTATGTTTTTTTGTTGTTGTTGTTGTTGTTTTGTGTGTGTAGTACGCGGGCCCCTTTCACTGTTGTGGCCTCTCCCGTTGCGGAGCATACCCTCCGTTCGCGCAGGCTCAGCGGCCATGGCTCACGGGCCCAGCTGCTCTGCGGCATGCAGGATCCTCCCAGACCGGGGCATGAACCCGTGTCCCCTGCATCCGCAGGCGGACTCTCAACTACCGCGCCACCAGGGAAACCCAATGTAGTGGTATGTTTTACAGCAGAAACTACAGTGCCATTTAATATTCAAGTATTTTATTTAAATCAAATGGCCAATTGATTGACAGATTCAATGTAATCCCTGTCAAAATCCCAGCTGACATTTTTTGCAGAAATTGACATGCTGATCCTAAAATTCATACGGAGAATCAAAGGACCCAGAATAGCCAAAAAAAGTCTTGAAAGAGAAAAACAAAGTTGGAGGACTCATGCTTCTATTTTAAAAACTTACTACAAAACTATAATAATCAAAACTGTGTGTTAGTGGCATAAGGACAGACATATAAAGCAATGGAATAGAAATTAGATTCCAGAAATAAACCTCAGATTTATGGTCAATTAATTTTCAACAAAGGTGCCAAGATATTAAACAGGGACAAAATAGTTTTTTTAACAAATAATGCAGGTACTTCCCTGGTGGCAAAGTAGTTAAGACTCCGCCTGCCAATGCAGGGGACACAGGTTCAATCCCTGGTCCGGGAAGATCCCACATGCTGCTGAGCAGCTAAGCCCGTGCGCCACAGCTACCAAGCCTGTGCTCTAGAGCCCACAAGGCGTGACTACTGAGCCCTCGTACCGCAACTACTGAAGCCCAAGTGCCTAGAGCCCATGCTCTGCAACAAGATAAGCCACCGCAATGAGAAGCCTGCATACCACAAAGAGAAGCCCGCGCACTGCAATTAAGCCCATGCACCGCGACGAAGAGCAGCCCCCGCTCACCGCAACTAGAGAAAGTCTGTGTGCAGCAACGAAGACCCAATACAACAAAAAGTAAATTAATTAATTAATTAATGACAAAAAAATAATGCTGTGATAACTAGATATTCACAAGCAAAAAAACGAAGTTGGACCTCACACCATATACTAAAATTAACTCAAAAGGGATCAAAGACTTAAATGTAAGAGCTATAACTATAAACCTCTTAAAAAAATAAATAGGGATACACCTTTATGACCATGTATGAGGCAGTGGTTTCTTAGATGACGTTAAAAGTGCAAACAACAAAAGAAAACAGATAAACAGTCCTTCGTCAAAATTAAAAACTTGTGCTTCAAAGGACACTATCAATACAGTGAAAAGACAACCCACAGAATGGGAAATGAAAATATGTGTCCATTGTATACATATACACCACATTTTCTTTATTCATTCATGGTTACTTAGGTTGTTTCCATGTACAGTATATATACACAATGGAATATTATTCAGCCATAAAAAGAAGGAAATCCTTCCCTTTGCAACAACATGGGCCTTGAGGTCATTATGCTAAGTGAAATAAGTCAGACAGAGAAAGACAAATACTGTATGATCTCACTTATATGTGGAATTTAAAAAAACCAATGTCAGAGAAAAAGAATAGACTGGTTGGCAGGGAGGGGGGTGAAGGTGGTCAAAAGGTACAACTTCCTGTTTTAAGATAATTAAGTTCTGGGGAAGCGATGTACAGCATGGTGACCATAGTTAACAATATTGTATCATACATTTGAAAATTGCTAAGAGAGTAAATCTTAAAAGTTGTCATCACAAGAAAAAATAATTTATCACTATGTGAGGCAATGGATGTTAACTAAACTTACTGTGGTAATCATTCCACAATACATACATATATTAAATAATTATGTCATACACCTAAAATGGTTCTGAGGCTCAATTTCCAACCTGTGGAAGGGGGAGGAGGAAGAAGGCTTCCCACACACCACTAAGCAATTTTCAGACACCAGCAGGGTGTCTGTCACTCTCTACCCAGAGACAGCGTCAGCTTCCACAGCTTCCACAGGTTGAGGGCTCAGTCCTACAAGACTGCCCCACCACTTCACACACCAGTTGAAAGCCCAAGTTGTCACCTGTTCTCTGACTGACTGGTTATAGGTTAGGGATTCCAACGACCTCCTCCTTGGGTTTGATTATTTTGCTAGAGCAGCTCACAGAACTCAGAGAAATATTTACTTTCTATATTACTGGTTTATTATAAAAGGCTATCACAGCCAGATAGAAGAGATGCATAGGCAAGGTATGTGAGAAGGGGTGCAATTCTCTCCAAATCTCCAAACTGGAAGCTCTTCAAACGCTTTTTGAGTGTTTATGGAGGCTTCATTACATGGGCATGATTGATGAATCCATTGGCCACTGATGATTGATTCAACCTCCAGCCCTTTTCCTCTCCCCCGAGATCAGGGTGATGGGACTGAAGGTTCCAATCCGCTAATCACAGGATTGGTTCCTCTGATGACCAGCCCCCATCCTTAGGTGATCTAGGGGCAGTCCAAGAGTCACCTCACTAACATAACAAAAGGCACCTTTATTATTCTCATCACTTAAGAAATTCCAAGTGTTTTAGGAGTTCTGTGCCAAGAACAGGAAGAAGACAAATATATATTTCTTATTATAAAAGTCACAATACCTTAAACTAACTATATATGTCAATTATATCTCAGTAAAACTGGGGAGGGCTTCCCTGGTGACACAGTGGTTAAGAATCCGCCTGCCAATGCAAGGGACACGGGTTCGAGCCCTGGTCCGGAAAGATCCCACATGCCACAGAGCAACTAAGCCCGTGCACCACAACTACTGAGCCTGAGCTCTACAGCCTTCAAGCCACAACTACTGAAGTCCGTGCGCCTAGAGCCCATGCTCCGCAACACAAGAAGCCACCACAATGAGAAGCCCAGGTACAGTAATGAAGACCCAACACAGCCATAAAAAACTGGGGAAAAAAATATGTCCATATAAAAACCTGGACACAAATGTTCATAGCAGCGTTGTACATGTTAGCCGAAAAAGTAGAAACAACCCAGATGTCCATCAACTGATTAATAAAGAAGATATGGTATATCCATACAATGGATTATTATTCAGTCATAAAGAGGAATGAAGTTTTGATACGTGCTACAACATGGATGAATCTAGAAAACATGATGCTAAGTGAAAGAAGCCAGACACAAAAGGTTATATAGTGTATGACTCCACTTATATGAAATTTCCAGAATAGGCAAATTGCTAGAGATAGAAAGTAAATTAGTGGTTGCCTAAGGTTGGGGGGATTGGGGAAAAAAAGGTAGGGAGATAAGGAGTGACTATTAGCAGGTATGGGGTTTTGGGACTTCCCTGGTGGTCCAGTGGTTGAGACTCCAAGCTTCCACTGCAAGGGGCATGGGTTCAAGGGGCACAGAGCAGCCCCCCCCCAAAAAAAAAGTATGGATACAGGGTTTCTTAAAAAAATGTTCTAGAATTGGTTACAGTGATGGTTGTACAACTGTGAATATACTAAAAGCCTTGAACTATAAACTTTAAATTGGTGAACTGTTTAAATTGTTGAATATGGTCTGTCAATTATATCTCAATAAAACAAAATCAAATGGGATCCACCACTGAAAATTAGAAACTGTAAAACTATTGTCTTACTACACAGCAGGAAAAAAGCAGGAAAAAACAACGTTTATTGAGTGATTAACATGTGCCAGGCACTGTGCTAAGCATTTCAGCATCAAGTTTAAGCCTCCTGAGGCAGACTAACAGTATCCATTAACCCTTGCCTTGAATTCTAGTGCAATACCTGGCTGTATTTCACAGCCTCCCTTCAAGCTGAGTGTGGCTGTGAGAATAAGTTCTGGCCTTCGGAGTTAAGTGGAAGAAGTGTGTGCAACTTTCTGAGCTCTGTTCTTAAGAGGAGTGAGGGAGGGGGTGCCCTTCTTCCCTTCTTCCTTCCTGTTGACAAGAATGCTGATGCAACGGCTAGAACTGGAACAGCCATTTTGGACCATAAGGTGAACCTCAGAATGGAGGCCATGAATGGCATAACAAGACAAAAGCACGAGTCTCTGAGGACTGCAGGGAGCAGAGCCTCCACATCTGGACTGTGTACCATCAAACTTGTTGATACCACTGTTAATATGTCTCTTTCTGTTACATGAGACCTAATACACCTCCTAACAATTCTAAGAACAGCTACTGATATTGCCCCATTTTTTATTTATTTATTTTTTTTATTTTTTTTTTGCGGTACGCGGGCCTCTCAATGTTGTGGCCTCTCCCGTTGTGGAGCACAGGCTCTGGATGCGCAGGCTCAGCGGCCATGGCTCACGGGCCCAGCCGCTCCTCGGCATGTGGGATCTTCCTGGACCGGGGCACAAACCTGTGTCCCCTGCATCGGCAGGCTGACTCTCAACCACTGTGCCACCAGGGAAGCCCTGCCCCATTTTTTAAATGAAAAAAACTCTGAGAGGTGAAGTGACCTGCCCTAGATCTCAGAGTTGATTTGTAACAGAGCTGGGGTTTGAAGCTAGGTCTCCTGACACCAGAACCTGCCATTAAGAATAACTTAACAGGCTTCCCTGGTGGCGCAGTGGTTGAGAGTCCGCATGCCGATGCAGGGGACGCAGGTTCGTGCCCCGGTCCGGGAAGATCCCATGTGCCGCGGAGCGGCTGGGCCCGTGAGCCATGGCCACTGAGCCTGCGCGTCCAGAGCCTGTGCTCCACAACAGGAGACGCCACAACAGTGAAAGGCCCGCGTACCACGAAAAAAAAAAGAAAAAAAAAAGAATAACTTAACTGTTCTATAGGCAAGACTATATCGCGGCCCACCGGGGTTCAGGAAGCCCTAAGTCCCTGGTCAGCTACGTACTCCTCACCTGATATCCTGTGTCAGGGAGACCTCAGGCTTCAGTTGCACGTTCAGGGGCACCCGTTGCTCTGCCAGCCATATGGCACACTGCATAGCCACCTGTTCATCCCCGCCAGCCACTGCTCGGGTGAGTCTCTGGGCCACCTCCTCAGCTGAAATCCACAGTGGAAGCAGGTTAGCACAGGGTTTATTTTTCAGGAGCTGGGGTTAAGGGGGTGAGGAAGGAGGTGATCCTTTGTACATGCTGCTTCCTCTCTGTCTTCCTGGTGAACTCCTACATATCTTTCAGCACCCAGCTTAAAAGTCCCTTTTCTCTGGGAGGCCTTCTCTGTCACCCCCCACTCCCCCTCCCTGCTCATTTGGTTCTGTTTTCCCTTCATACTCCCAGGTCCCCCCATACTTCCACTCATTTATACAACAAACATTTACTGAATTCTTACTGTGTGCCAATCACTGTCTCAGAAACTGGTCTTCAACAGTGAATAAGATAAACAGGGTCCCTCTTCTCATGGACCTCCCAGCCCAGTAAGAAGACAATTAACAAATTTAACAAAAGAAAAAGATTCAGACTGTGATCCATGCTGGCAAGGAAATGAACAGGGTAAGGAAATCGGGAAAGTCTCTAGGAGGAGGTGACATTGAAGCTGAGACATGAAGGAGGAGAAGTTGGGTATGTCAAGACCTGGTTGGGCAAAAGTGTTCCAGGTACAGAGAAAGGGAAAGGGAAAGGCCTTGGGCAAGAAATGGCTGGATTAGAACAGAAACCGGTGGGGCTCCAAGCAGAGTGACCAAGGGGCCCAATGCGGGAAGGCAGAGGTCAGCGAAGCCAGCAGGCCTGTGGGCTACCCAACTGCTCTGGGCTTTGTTGTAAGAACAAGGAGCACAGGAGGGTATTTGAGCAGGTTGGTGACAAGACCTAACTTAAGTTCTCCCACGCTGGGTGGAAGGGGCCAGGGGGAAGGCAACGACCCTTGAGGTCTGCTCCCTCACCAGCCTGGGTGGTCTCCTGTGTCCTCTGGGAGCTCCCTACACCCTTCCCAGCAGAGCTGGCCCACTGAGGCCTCAGGGGCATCAAATAAATGAATGACAAGAGGCCCCTGGAAGGAGCCAGGCCCCAAGGGAGGAAACTGAGGGGCAGGTGGGTAGAGGGACGACAGGGTTAATGCCCCTCCCCCCCCTAAGTTTCTCAGTCGCCTCCAGGCTGTGCCCACCTTTCTTGATCTTCTCGTCCATCTGGCGTGGTTGTGCCCATCCCCCCAGGCAGGGGCTGCAGCTCCGGGGAAATGCCACCTCCCGGTCACTTGCTAGAGGACGGGCGACCACGAGTAACTCAGTCCAGGCCGGTGACCTCTGGCGCGGCCCAAGCCTTCTTTGTGCCTCGGTGTCCCCGGTGGCAGTCGGGTAGCATCACACTACCCGAGGACCGGGGATGGGGCCTGGGGTAGGGAACGGGCCGGGACCCCGCGTGGGAGGTGAAAGGGGGCACCAAGCCAAGCCCGCAAAGTGCAACAGAGGAAACGGGACAGGCCTGGCTGCGGGGAGGGACAACGCACAGCCGGGGCGCTGGGAGTCCCCGAGGAGGGCCTCCCCTTTTCCCTGCTGGGGAAAAGCGCCCTCCGGTGCGCTGGATTTCAGCCCAACTCCCTCCCCCGCGGAGCGGCCCCTGTCAGTCAGGAGAGGGAGGGGAGCAGCCTCCACGGAAAAGAAAGTGAAAGTGGCGGCCCCGGAAGTGGGGCGGAAGAGTCTCGCGGGATCCGGGTCTCCCCGCAGTTCCGGCGACCCGGCGGCTGACCCTGCTCCGGCTCTCGGCGGTCCGGGGCGCTTTGTCCCGCAGTCCGAGGCGTTCCCACCCCTCCCGCGGCCGGACCCGGACTCCTAGACCCGGGGTGGGGGAGTGGGCGGGGTCGGGGGGGGGCGGGGAGCGACGTGGAGACCGCCCCTGCTCAGTCCAGCTGCCAGCACTGCGGCGGGCAGGACACTCCTTGCTCCTTTTGCAGAAGAAATAGAGGCTCTGTTTGTTTCTCATCTGCCCGAGCCCACGCAGCCGGATTTAAATCCAGGCCGGACGGCCTCAGGAACCCATCCTTAGCCAGCCGGACGCTGCGTCTCGGCCGTCACTCTCCACCTTTTGATTGGGCCACTAATGAAGTTTATTTTCTCCGGGCATAGGCTGGAAGCTCTTTGCGTCCTCCAGTCTTCCCACCCCTCATCCCATAGATCAACAGATCCTATGGGCTTGGCCTGCACGACACTTCCAGAATCTGTCACCTCTCACCTCCTTCACACCCCATCCCAATCCACCTCCATCCTTTCTCTTCCGGCGTACTGCACCAGCCTCCTCATTGGGCTCCTGGCTTCCCCTTTTGGTCACTACAATCCATTTTCCACCCAGCTGCCAGAGGGCCCTGTTAGAATCAAGCCATGCCACTCCTCAAAACACTCCCAATAGCTCCCATCTCACTCAAAGTAAAAGCTGAGGTCCCCCCAAGGCCTGCAACTGCCGCCGCTCCTTCTCTGAATACTATCCTCTTGGCTCACCCCACTCAAGACCCATTGGCCTCCAGATCCTGGAACAAGGCAGACACACTCCCACCTCAGGGCCTTTGCACTTGCCATAGCCCAAATACCTTCATGGATTGCTCTTGCCCTTTATTTTGGCCTTTAGCGAAAAGTCTTCCCTGTCCACTCTATCTGAAATTTCACACACACGCACCTAAATCTAGCATTTTATATTCTCCTTCCCGGCTTCATTTTTTCCCAAAGCATGTATTACTATCTAACAGCATATTTTACTTCTTTATCTTGGTTATCTTTTGGCTGTTTCCCTCTTCCAGAGGGTGGGGACTTTTGTGTGTTTTGCTCATTGCTGTGTTCCTGGTGTCTAGAACAGTTTCGAACACATAATAGTTGCCCATGGATTACGTTAAATGAATGAAGGAATCTCGGACTTTCATCTGGGATCAATTTCTTTTTGCCTGAAATATATCCCATAAGGCAGAGGTTCTCAACCTAAGCTGTATGTTTGAATCACCTGGGGAACTTTTAAAAATCCTATGCCCAGGTCACATCTCAGATCAATTGATTCAGAATATCTGGGGTGGGTCCAGGTATCAGGAGTTTTTAATTTTTAAGCTCTTTGGAGAGTGGAATGAGAAGCCAAGTTTGAGAACTGTTGTATTAGAAGTCCCTGTAGGGTGAGTCTTCTCGTGACAAACTTTCTTGGTTTTTGTTTGAAAAATCTTTATTTAGACCTCACTCTTGAGAGACGTTTTTGCTGGGTATAGAATTCTAGCTGGCATTTCTGCACCTTAAAGACAGCATTCCATTGTCTTCTGGCTTCCATTGTTGCTGTTAAAACATCTTCACCAGTCAATCTAACTGCTGTTCTTTCTTTAAATAGCTTTATTGAGAAATAATTTATATACTATAAGATCCACCCATTTAAAGTGTACAGTTTAATAGTTTTTAGTACAGAGTTATGCAACTATCACCATGATCTAATTTTAGAACATTTTTAAAAAATATTTATTTTTATTTATTTGGCTGCGTCGAGTCTTAGTTGCGGCATGCGGGATCTTTGTTGCAGCATGCAGGATCTTTCGTTGCGGTGCGCGGGCTCTTTGTTGCGGCACATGGGCTCTCTAGTTGTGGCATGCAGGCTTAGTAGTTTCGGCACACGGGCTCTCTAGTTGTGGCGCACGGGCTCTAGAGCGTGTGGGCTTAGTTGCCCTGCGGCATGTGGGATCTTAATTCCCCGAACAGGGGTTGAACCCACTTCCCCTGCATTGGAAAGCAGATTCTTAACCACGGGACCACCAGGGAAGTCCCTAATTTTAGAACATTTTTACCACCCCCCAAAGAAACCCTGTACCCATAGCAGACACTATCTCCTACTCTCTAACCCCCTCTGCACTAGTCTACTTTTGGTCTGTACAGATTTTCCTATTCTGGACACTTTATATAAATTTAGTCTTACAATATGTGGTTCTTTGTGATTTCTTCCATTTAGTATAATGTTTTTGAGGTTCATCCCTGTTGTACTGTTGTTCTCTTGAAAGTAATCTCTCTGGTTTTTTTCCCTCTGACTGCTTTTAAGATTTTTTTGTCTTTTCACATTTTCACTATGATGTGTCTGTGTGTAAAAATTTATGGAGTCTCTTGCCTCTGTGATTAATGTCAGCTTTCTATCTCACTAGTTCCCTCTTTAGCCACATCTAATCTGTGGTTTAACCCATCTGTTGAATTTTTTATTTTGGTTATTGCATTTTTCATTTTAGAAGTTCTTTTAGGTTTTCAAATCCACTTTGTTACTTGATGTAGTTTCCTATACTTTGGCCATAGTTTCAAACTTGTTATATATCTATTTAAGCAAAATAAACGTTTCCGTTTTATAATGTCTATCTGATAGTATTGCTGTCTGAACTCTGAGTGTCTGTTTCTGCTGGTTTTCACTCCTATTGCCTTGTTTTCTTTTTCTGAGCCTGCCGTTTTATAATGGTCACGTTCACCTGAGCCCTGAATTCACCAGCACAAATTTGTACTGGAGGCAGATACGTTCTTTCAGTGTTCTGGTCTTAGCCTTCGTCCTTCAAGGACAGAGCTGGCATTCACTTTGGACATTTTTCATCCCAGTGGGTAGACTCTGTAGTCATTCAAACCTGGGTTCAGTCCCATAGTTACACTATCTGTGTGGCCCTGGACAAAAGATTTCCCCTCTCTGGGCCTCAGTTTCTTCTCTGTACAATGGTGATCATCATTGTCCCTCCCTCATAGGGCTGTTTTTAGGATCTGTATCAGTTATTGGTTATTGATACATAGCAAATTACTCCAAAACTTAGCATCTTAAAACAATAATAAACATGCAGCTCTCACAAGGGTTTCTATGGGTTAGGAATTCAGGAACAGTTTCTTAGGTAGTTTTTTTTGGTTTTTTTTTGTTTTTTTTGGCGGTACGTGGGCCTCTCACTGTTGTGGCCTCTGCCGTTGCGGAGCACAGGCTCCGGACGCGCAGGCTCAGCGGCCATGGCTCATGGGCCCAGCCACTCCGGGGCACGTGGGATCTTCCTGGACCGGGGCACGAACCCGTGTCCCCTGCATCGGGCAGGCGGACTCTCATCCACTGCACCACCAGGGAATCCCTCTAAGGTAGTTTTTGGCTCAAGGTCTCTCAGAGGTTGTAGTTAAGATGTTGGCTGGGGCTTCAGTTATCTGAAGGCCTGACTGAAGCTGGAGGATTGACGTTCAAGAAAGCCCACTCATAGGCCTGGTTGGTGCTGGTTATTTGCAGGATGTGTAAGTTCCTTACAACATGTATGTCTCCATAGGGTACTTGAGTGTCCTAGCAACATGGCAGCTGGCTTTTCCCAGAACAGGTGATCCAGAAGAACAAGGCAGAAGCCATAATATATTTTATGGCCTGTACTTAAAGTCATACTCATTTATTTTCAGTTTCCTATTAGTTACACTGTCAGCCCAGCTCAGGGTAGGAGGGAACTATACAAGGGCATGGATACCAGGTGTTGCAGATCATCGAGGGCCATCTGGCTATCACGTATCAAATGGGGTAGTGCATATAAAGCACTTAGAGCCATGCCTGGCATGTAGTATGTGCCCGTAAACATTAACCATCCCTAATAAGTGTCCTGGCTCTGCTCTAGGCATGTAGGATCTACACAGCAACCACTTTCATTTACAAACATTTATTGAGCAGCTCTGTGTGCCAGGCACTGTTCTTGGAGCCAGGGAGACAGTTGTAAACAAAGCATATCCTTGGACTTATGAAACGCACGCAACAAATGATAGAGAATGTCCTGCCAGGTGGTGCTAAGTGCTGTGCAGAGCCACAAAGCCAGGTGAGGGGAGAGAGAACAAGGAGGGAAAGAGGGCTACATGTCTCTCCCCAGGATGCTGGTACAACTTAGGTGGTGGCTGAGATTTTGACCTGATAAAGCCCCCCACATCTGTGAGCTCATCCTAGCATCACAGGCAGGTAGAATTTATGCCCACTTTACACCCATTTGCAAACAAACCAGAGAGGCACTAACATGAGCTCTCTGAGTCCCCAAGGAGGCAGGATTTCTCCAAACACAGAGGTTCTCCACCTCGGATGCTCAGCAGCATCACCCAGGGTGATTGTTAAGATGCAGAACCCCAAGTGTTCTAACTCACTAGGGCTGGGCAGTGTCCAGGGATCTGCATTTTAAACAAGCACCCTAGGGGACTGACTGACCACCTCTGAGAACCCTGTTCTTCGGGCTTCAGCATGTAGGGGAGGGCATGCCCGCTCTGAAGAGTCTCCAGGTCCAGCCTCAAGGGAAGGGCAGGCCTTAACCACACAAAAGGAGGGGAACAGTCTGAGGCCCAGAGACACCAAGCAATTGGCCCAGGGATCAGTTTTAGGTACACCGTAGTCAACTTACTTGATCAAGTATACCTCATGTAGTATATTGAAGAAAAAAAAAAAGGCCACATATTATATTCAGGTCCTCCCACTGAGAGGAAGAATTAATTTCCCCACCTCCTGGATCTGTCTGTGGGACATGCCGATGTGACAGAAGCACAGCTTGGGCACTGGGATTTGTTCTTGTTGCTTTTTGAAACCCCAAGACCACCACAGGAAGGAGCCAGCGCTGAGTCTGTTGGAGGCTGAGACCACATTGAGCCGCGATGAGCCATCCTAGCCAAGGCTCCCTGGAGCCTGCCAAT